AGAGAGAGAGAGAGAGAGGTGGAATGGGGAAAGCATGGCTTGTTCCAGGGCCCAGGATGGCACTTCTCCAGAATCCAGTCTTCTCTAGAGTCCCTGGGTCCCTTCCCAAATCTACTACGGCTACTCTCTGTTCCCCTCCTGTGCACGCAGAGCCCCTTCCCCACCAGTAGCCACTGAGGGGACAGAGCCATCAATCTGGATCCCCAGTAGGCCTTAAATAGTGGAAATCCTAGCAAGGAGCTCCTTCTGGCTGTGTGACCTTGGGTAAGTCACTTCTCTCTAGGCCCATCTGTACAAGGCAGGAGGTGACCAGGTTTGTAAAGGCCATTCCAGCTCTAACAATCAGTGATGTAAGAGATATCTCATTCCTTCCCCATTCTACATGCCCTGATCATCCACAGTCGAGGGGAGAGGCCAGACATTCTCCTTGCATCTGTCCCCAGCTTCCCACAGCCCAAACACCCCCTGTCTCCACAGCTCCATGGCCACCCATGTGCTCCTCTTGGGCATCCTACTCCTGCTACTACCCACACCTGCCCCTGGCTACTGCTACACTGCTGCGCGATCTGAGTGCCAGAAGGTTCGCAAGTTTTTGCCTGGCTCTTTGCTAGCAGGGGAGGGTGTGGATGTGACCAATCTCCAGCGCTCAGGCTCCTTCCCAGTGAACACAGAGACATATCTACGGCGGGACCGCACCTGCACCCTCTGCCACAACACACTACAAAATAATGCCCTCCGGCGCCTGCCTGTGGCGCTCACCCACTGGCGCGCCCACGGCTCAGGCTGCCAGAGCCACCTGATCAAGGCCAAGGCCAGTTCCACTGAGGACGTGGCCAAGGATGCAGCTTCCAGCATCCGCAATGACTGGCGGGTGGGGCTGGAAGTAAATCCCAAACCCAGCACCAATGTTCGAGTATCAGTGGCCGGCTCACACTCCAAGGAAGCCAATTTTGCGGCCGAGAAAACCCACCAGGACCAGTACAGCTTTAGAAGTGACACAATAGAGTGTCGCTTCTACAGGTGAGCACTGGAGTGGTGGCAGAGGGGGCTTGAAAAAGTTCTGGGGGTTCTGGGTGGTCTGGGAGCCCTGGAATGGAGAGTGGGGACTTGAGGCTGTTTCCACCAGGAGGAAGCCACAGCCCAGGTTCTCACACACCAGGTGGTCCAGTGCCCGCTGGCCCTGCTCTGGAAGAGCCCAGGGAGGGCACAGGTGGAGGGGAAGCAAGCAAAGCTGTCCTGAGAGCCCCAACATGGTGCCTTCAGGCCTTCTGAGTGGGCATTGCCAGCCTTCTGTGGGCAAGAGACCTAGCTGGATGCCTCCCATCCCTGGGCCTCTTTCATCCACTCAGACACTATTCATGCCTACTGTGTGTTAGGAATTAAGGCTACAGTGCTGAGCAAGAGTGGTCACACCACCTGCCCTCAGGTCCCACTCCTAAGAAATGCACGGTTTCAATGGGCAACCCCAAGTCACCTGCCCCGATTTCTCACTGGGAGGCCAGGTTTACCCCACAGTGAGACAGGGCAGGCACCTCCTGCCTGCATGGCCAGAGCTGTCAGGAATCCAGGCATATGGGGCTCAATCCAAGGGACAGACAGACGAAGAACACACAGGACAAGGGTCCAAAGCTAGAGGAATACCATCAGTGCAGTGCCATCGTTTTTATAATTAGAAAATAAAAAGGAAAGAAAAAACTTTATTTTGTAAAGGAAAAGCGAAAATGCCTTGACAAAGTAGCTAGGTCATTGAGGAGCTATAGACAGAGTGGGTCTCCTAGTTCTGCCACTTACATGTGACCTCGGGCAACCTTGAGGGAGTTATGGAATCAGGGACAGACTACCCACTGCTGGGCCCCCCTTGATGTTTTTCTCTCCCCCACAGTTTTCGGCTGGTGCACTCTCCGCCACTCCACCCCGAGTTCAAGAAGGCCATCACCGCCCTGCCCCCCCACTTCAATGCCTCCACCGAGCCCGACTACCGCAGCCTCATCTCCCACTATGGCACCCACTTTATCCACTCCATGGAGCTGGGCGGCAGGGTCTCTGCCCTCACCGCCCTGCGCACCTGCGAGCTGGCCCTGGAAGGGCTCACGGCCAACGAGGTGGCGGACTGCCTGGCCGTCGAGGCCCAGGTCAGCATAGGCAAGCTCGCCGAGTCCTCCATGGAATACAAGGCCTGTGAGGAGAAGAAGAAGCAGCATAAGATGAAAGCCTCCTTCCACCAGGTCTACCAGGAGCGCTACTCCAAAGTGGTGGGTGGCAGCCACCTCTCCATGCCCGACCTGCTGTTCGGGAAGCACACCGGGCAAGAGCAATTCTCAGCCTGGGTGACCTCGCTGGTGGACTCTCCTGGCCCAGTGGACTATACCTTGGAGCCTCTGCACGTGCTTTTGAAGAAGCAGGACCCACGGCGGGAGGCACTGAGGCAGGCCGTGAGCAAGTACCTGATGGACAAGGCACGCTGGAAGAACTGCAGCCGGCCCTGCCCCCCAGGGCAGCAGAAGAGCCCCCATAACCCCTGCCTGTGTGTGTGCCATGGCACATCAGTCACCAACCAGGACTGCTGTCCCCGGCAGAGAGGCCTGGCCCATCTAGCAGTTATGAACTTCCAGGCCACAGGTCTGTGGGGAGACATAATTACTTCCACTGACGCCTATTTGAAGGTCTTCTTTGGAGGCCAGGAGCTGAGGACGGGCACAGTGTGGAACAATAACAACCCCCAGTGGAAGACACGGCTGGACTTTGGGAATGTGATCCTGGCCACAGGGGGGCCCCTGAGGGTGCAGGTCTGGGACCAAGACTATGGCTGGGATGATGACCTCCTCGGCACCTGTGACCGGGCACCACAGTCTAGCCTAGAGGAGGTGGAGGTGCAGTGTAACCTGAATCACGGTACACTGAAATTCTTCTACCTTGCCAAATGCTTGCCTCACCTGACAGGGGGAACCTGCCTGGAGTACGCCCCCCAAGGACTGCTAGGGGAGCCTCCAGGAAACCGGAGTGGAGCGGTGTGGTGACAACAGGGGGCCCATAGAGTCCCTGTGCCCGGACTGAAGGGGTTCTCACTGAGGGAGCCAGGGCCCATCTATCTTCATATCCCTATTAGACAGATGGAAAACAGGCTTTTGTTTTTGCTTTTTTTTTTTCAGTGAGGTAGCTGAATTTATAGACCAGCCCTGAGTCCCTGTCCAAACTGCCTTGGCTCCCCAACATTCTTGAGCCCAGGAAATGAGCTGTTGCCGGGCTGTGCCCTACAGTTGCTACACAGGCCGACGCTTAGGTCAGGAGCTGGGCAGAAGGCCAGGGGGACATTCCCACCAGGCTGCTTGGTGTCATTTAAGAGCTTCCCTTGCAGCCCTTTATACCATGGTGAATTTTTCATCATATTAGATCTAACCCCTTCTTCTCCCAGCTGCCCTGTTTACTGTCTTCTTTGCCCACCAAACTGCCTCTCAGACAAACCAAGGACTATCTTGACCTATTTCATTGTGTACATAATCTGCCAGAGAACCAATAAATGTGGTGTGATGACAACTGTAATGGTGGTCATTGTGACAGAGGAGAAGATGGGGACCAAACACAGCTCTGGAGATAAACTTCTACTCTAACATCCCTATACAATGGGACTGGTGGCCCACCTCAGGGGCAAGCAGGTAATATAAATAAACTTGCTTTCCACTTTTGTTGGAAATGTGGGGACCCAAAATATTTTAGTTTCCTCATAACTCTCTGATATGAGAAACAGCAGCATAAACTTGGTGATAAGTGTCAATGGACATTCAGCTCCCAGCTGGGAGACAATAGGGAATGGGAAGGACTATGGTGAACTGAAGGGCACATGTCTTATTTGGGGGGTGAGCGGGTGCTGTAGCTCTGCACCAGCCAAACATTCCCAGGCAGGAATGTGAGCCCAGTGCTGCCAGGTCTTCTAGAATTTTAAAGTAACCAGAAATCTTAAAGTAACCAATTTGATTTCTAATTGTTGGCAATTCATTTCACCTTGTAAAAATAAACTGATGTGGGAAAACATGGTACAGGCCAAAGAGAACATGTATGTGTGCCATCATTGATCTGGAGCAATCAATTTGGAAACTCTGACTTCAACAGAACCTATTTCACAGGCTGAACAGCTCTCTCCTGTCCCACAATCTGAGAGGAGAGGGCAGTGGTTCCAAGAAGGTAGTGTCGGAGGACCTCCTGGCCTTGGAGTACAGTAAATGCCAGAGTCTTGGGCTCTGATATAAAATGAAATGGTCTTTGTTTCATGTGCCTAGGACACAGGCCTAGGAACAGGCCCACAGGCTGTGCAGGGCAGTTGTCAGGAGGCTCAGAGTTGCTGGCATGGCCTCCTGACTCTCTTTGAAACGCCCTATAAAGTAAGCCCCTTGAGGTTTGTGTGGACCCCTGGGCTCGAAAGTTCCCAAAGTGATATTACACTGACTCTGAATCCTCAAGTGGGGCAAGAGAGACAGGTGAGCTCTAAAAATCAGCTTAAAACCACCGTTCTTAACACGTTTCCGTTCACAGCCACACACACAAACAAGAGCAGACAAGAAATCTTGAAACTTCACATTGACTGCTGCACTAATTGAAAATAAATATGGTAGGAAAGCAGGGGCAGGGCAGGCTCAGGGGACAGCTCTGATAAGCGACGGGAGTCTTGGTCATTGACTTCCACGTGGTCAGTGACCTCCAACAAGCCCTTCTGCTCCCTGGGCCTTGGTTTCCCAAAAGGATAACCTTTGTTTTACTCCCTTCTCAGGGTGCCATGAGGCTTCCTAGAAGGTCAGTGCTATGAAAGGCATCCTGAAAGGTCATCTGGTTGACCTTTCTGGTTTTACCTATAGGGAAAGTGAGGGCCAGAAGGAGAAGGGATTGACTTAACTGTGGTTACAGAAGTTGGTGGCAGAGCCAGGTCTCTCCGAGTCCTGGGCATTCCACTCCAAGCACAGCTTTGGAGAGGACAACAGGGCTCAGAAAGCCTGGCTCATTGGGGGAGATGGTGGGATATGACCAAGGAGAGGGAATGGCCCATTCTTGTTGAGGGGCCATCATGGAGCTCTCAGCAGTAACTCAAAATCTAACACATTTTAGTTTCCACCCCGCGTGGACATGGAGACACTTTGTCACACCTGAGTGTCCTCGTTTGTTTAGGAAATTCCCCACTATACCAGATATCTTCCATTTGCCTCCAGGTCTCATCTGCACTCTGCTCTCCACTGCTCTGGCCCAGGACACTCACCTGTCTGAGCCTGTCAGTGGGCAAGAGACTGGAGGGAGGGGAGATCTCTAGGCATTTACTCCCCTCAGTGTCTCTCAGCGAGGTGGCCTTGGGTTGGCTATGTCCCTCTTCCTCTCCAGGGGGCCTCTGCACAGCTGTCTCTTTTTTCCTGGATCCCAGTAACCTCCCCTCCCTTTATTCCCTCAGACCTCAGGGTGGCAACAGCTCTGCTGGTGTGAATCCTGAGTGACTACACTGTCCCTCGTGCCTCCCCACAGCCCTAAGGCTTTGTAAATAAGCCCTTTATAGACAAATGCCCTCAAAATATCATTTGAATATGCCATTGGTTTCTGAATGTTTGTGTCCCCCCAAAATTCATATGTTGACATTGTAATCCCCAAGGCGATGGCCTTTGGGAGGTGATCATATGAAATTCTGCCCTTATTATTTTTTTTATATGCTTTTATTGATTTCAGAGAGAGGGAGAGAAACACCAGTGATGAGTCATTGATCGGCTGCCTCCTGCATGCCACCTACTGGGGATCGAGCCCTCAACCCTGGCATGTGCCCTGACCAAGAATCAAACCGGGATCTCCTGGATCATAGGTTGATGCTCAACCCCTGATCCACAACAGCTGGACAAGGGATTACTGCCCTTACAAGAGGGGTCCCAGAGAGGCCCCTTGCCCTTTCCACCATGTGAGGACACAGCAGGAAGGCACCATCTATGAACCAGAAAGTGGGCCCACTGAATCTGCTGGCACCTTGACCTTGGACTTCCAGCCTCCAGGACTGTGAGAAATAAATTTCTGTTGTTTATAAGCCACCCAGTTGGTAGTATTTTGTTATAGCAGCCCAAATGGACTGAGACAGCTTCTTACTGCAACCTTGATGATACACCACCTAGGAGTCCTGATGTGAAACAGAGCCACCTCCCTGACCCAGAAGCTGAAAATGCTTCTTCTGTAACTAGGAAAGGACACATGACTGGGTCTGCTGGTCGGATGCACCTATAGGGGTGTGGGGGTCTCTTCAAAAGAGATCAGGACCTGAGTGTAGGTCATTTATGTAGGAGGCAGTCCCAGGAAGCTCCAGTAGGGGAGAAGGGAAGGTGGCCCATAAAAGGTACATTATCCGGCAAATCACTGCTGTGGACAACCAGAGCCAGCGAAGAACTCAAGCTTCAGAGTTATCGAAGCTGGGGATGGAAGGAGCCAGGCATCCGTACACCAACTCCCCCCGGTCATTGGTTTCTTTTTCTACTTATCTCATCAATTAAACTGGGATTTTTATCACTGGGGACAGTAAACCCTGGTTGGTGACACAATCCCATTTTCTTCTCCCTTTCTGTTTCAGCACCCCCACCCCCTTCTCCAGCCACCCTCCACCCCACCCTTGTGGGCCCAGGTCCTTAGAACCACAGCTCAACTGTCCCCAGCACCTCCCTCCCCTCCGTCCCGAAGACATGAAGCCCAGAAGGGAAGAGACTGTGCACGGCTCCATCACTCAACAGGCTGCGCCTGCTGGGAGCCGGCCCTGGGCGGCCAGGGGAGAAGCCACGGGGCGCATCTGTCCTCGTGAGGCCACATGGGGGACAGATGGGAGCATAATGGAAGGTTCAGGGAGTGGGGTGACATTCAGGGTAGGGGGCTTGGCTGGGTTGCTTTTCTCTCATTTTCATTCCTACTCACCCCCCCAACACACACACACACACACACACACACACACACACACACACACACAAAGTGCGCGAGCGCCCCCACCCGTGGTCCAAGTGATCTCTTTCAAGACCACAGCCCAGTCTGTGTTTTTAAGCAGTTGCCACAGCACCTTCATCTCCCTTCAAACATGCTTCATGGTCTCTGGGGTACGGCCCTTGGCCGCCCTGTGGGTTGTGTCGGCGTCTCAGATGTGTGCAGGCAGAGGAGGTCTGCGGAAGGAGCAGCAGCGTGCAGATGAGGGGGAGCCCTGGGGAGGTGCAGGAGCCCGCTGTGGCTCTGAGAGGCTGCGGTTCCTCTACAGCGTCTTCATCCCCTCACATCTGTCACCAAGGCCAGCCATGTCTGCATCCTGACATTGTCCCCTTCTGCCTATAACCACAGCTTCTCCAGCCCAGGCTGCCAACATCTCTTGCTTGGCTAAGTCTTCCTGTTGCCTCCTCACTGACCTCCAGGCCCCTGTATGCCCCTGCCTGTATCTCCACCCCACAGCCACAGTGGTGCCAACGCCCTGCCCATGGCCCCTGGGGCCCCACTTTAAGCCAAGCCCTGCATCTCTGTCTGAAGGCCCATTCTGCAGCCCACTCTCTCTGTCCCATTGGAAGGCCTGTGTTGGGGAAGTGTCCATGCCCCGCCCAGCCCCGAACAGTCTTCTGCAGCCAGTGGAGGTGGTCTATAAATACCCCAGCTCCGACCCCTTCAGGGAATAACTCTGAAGGAAAGTTCTATGCTGGCTCCCAGAGTTCCCCAGCAGGATTAGGCTCCAGTACCCACAGAGGCGACTTGCTTGGCCACACACGCTCTCTTGGCTGACTTCCTTCCCTGTCTTGAATCCCCACTCCCCTACTGGTATTTTCTGGAATCACTTCCCACATAAACTACCCACAAATCCCCATCTCAAGGTCTGCCTCTGGGAAACCAGCTAAGAAGCACATCTCACCACATCATTGCTCTGCTTAAAGCCTTTCATTCGTTCCTTGTGGCTCTTGGGATAAACTCAAACTTCCTAGCATGACCCCACTCTCAACTCTGTTCTCCCCTCACTAAGCCCTGCCTCACTGAGCTTACTTGTTCCTCT